ATGCTGATTCACAAAAACTAAATTTACTTTTTAAAATTTTCTTTATTGTGTTTTTCTGCTTTTCCCTATTCTAATAGTTTCACTTCCTGGTCTCAAAAATGCCAAGCTTTCCAAATCATGTTTACCAGAAGAAAAAATAGTTTCAAAGAACTTAGAAATGAGATCACTCCAGTATGGAGTGGGGGACTTGGTGTTGTATAACAACTTTTTTTAGGGAGCTAGGGAGATAGCTCAGTAGAATAAATGCTTGGCTGGCAAGTGCAAGGGAGGGAAGGGTCTACAGGGTATTCAGGGTCTCACTACTACATCAGACTCGTACTCGTAGTGATCCGCCTGTTTTACAGCCTCCCAAGGGCTGGGATTACAGGCGCGTGCCACCACACACAGTCTCAGTTGCCGGCTCAGCATGCCCCAAGGGCGGAGCTGGCAAGGCAGGCCCCAGGATTGAAACCCGGCAGGTGCCTTAATCCACTGAGCTATTTGGCTGGCCCTAAAAACTTAAAAGTCTGTTGTGCTTAACTGTATAATTGCCATTGTCAATTCTGATAAATGGTCAAAATTCTATACATATTCTTTTTAAATTTTTTATAAGCGCATATTTGCCACATATGGTACTCACATTCATGATACAGAATTTGTACCTGTACATACTATATCGTAATTCTTTTTTTCCTCATTTCCCTCCACCCTTCTTCCTCTTCTTTGTTTATAGAATTGTTTCCATTTTTTCCTTTCATTAATTTTTAAGTCCCTTTTCTCTTTTACACATGGTCTCAGTAGAGAAGTCCATTCATTGTAAGAAATATAAAGAAGAGAAGTGAAGACTTGGGAAACCTACATTTAATCATTTCTTGAAATGTGGAGACTTTTGCAGAGAATAATTCCTGCAAATCTTATTCCTTCAGCTTGGTAACCTCAAAAGGACAAAATACAGATAAGATCCTTTTTATGGGAAGGATAAAACTATATTTGCTGTATATAATTTTGAGCATCAAATTTAATATATGATGTATTTCACTAGATGGCCTCAGTGGGTATTATTTTAAGCTAATCTGTGTGGATCTTTAGTGATACAAAGGATTAATAATTCATTCAAGGTATATAGGTAAAATATTTTTGTCATTTAATGGAAAATTTCACATTTGTTTTATTTTTAAAATCTAACATTTAATGGATTGGAATTTTGTTTCTTAGTAATTAGGTACTTTTTCTTTTTTTTCTTTTTTAAGAGTTTAGGGTTTTTGCCTACAAGTAATTTCTTTTTCTTATAAGCACTTCCTCTTTCATTCTTTTACTAGCAAAATCATGACAACAGAGAAGAGTTTAGTCGTTGAGGCTGAGAATTCTCAGCACCAGCAACAGAAGGAGGAAAGTGAAGGAGCCGCAAACTCAGGCCACCAAGAAACTCAGCTGGAAGAGGCTTCCCAGGCAGCGGCTGAGGGAGATAATCAGTGTGAGCAGAAGCTGAAAACCTCCAATGGTGATACTCCTACCCATGAAGACCTGACCAGGAACAAGGAGCGGACGTCAGAGGGCAGGGGCCTGTCTCGATTGCTCTCCTCATTTCTCAAAAGGCCCAAATCTCAGGTCTCTGAGGAAGAAGGCAAAGAGGTAGAGTCAGATAAAGAAAAAGGTGAAAGAGGACAGAAAGAGATAGAATTTGGAACCAGCTTAGATGAAGAGATCATTTTAAAGGCCCCAATTGCAGCTCCTGAGCCCGAGCTCAAAACAGATCCGTCCTTGGATCTTCATTCCTTAAGCAGTGCAGAAACACAGGTAAGACGTGTGAGTATGTGGAAGGTGGGTACAAGGAGGTCAGGTTATATAATTTGTTTTTTTATGAAAAACGTGGTTTCATTTCTTACCAGCTAATTGAGTTGGACATTGATAATAAATAGCATGAAGCTTTGGAGTTTCTGCTCTAAACAAATTAATGTGGTCAGCAGAAACTTGATTTTTAAAAGAATATACTCTATAAATCAAATAAGAGGAAACGAAAGACAAGTATCAAGTGAGTTTAATCAGCTAATATATCATTTTGCTATAATAACGGAACAAGCCCCGATTTTTAATGAGAAGTCAAAAAAGAAGTGAGATGGTTTTGGATTCATCTTGATGGAATTATTGGCAATGGGATAGCTAATCAGCTAATGTGGTCCTCTTACAGAAATATCTATAAAAGCTATGTGATGAATTTAGGCCATCCAAGGGTATAAAATAGATTTGAGCCGTGCCTACCTTATTTTGGTCATTTTCTCTAACTAGATTATATTGTTATGGAGTATAAGACATAGATGAGGAAGTTTAGAACTTATATCACCTGTGTAATATTTACTAGTGTAGGGCTTTAATTTTGTCACAGTGCAGCTAAACTAAATAGGAGTTTTTTTTACCAAAAAACCATGGGAAATATTAGTGTTGTAACTCAAACTATTTTTTTGGAATTTTGTTGTCAGCCTTATTACCTACATAGTTACTTTCAAAATAATGTTCTGGGGCCGGGGAGATAACTCAGTAGAATAAGTGCTTGCCTGGCAAGCACAAGGGCCTGAGTTCAATCCCCGGTTCCACCAAAAAAAAAAAAAAAAGTGTTCTGAAGCGTGTGACCATTATCTGCACTGTTAAATTGATGTATGTTTCCATTACAGTTATAAGGTTTGGGCAGTATGGATTTATGAAATTTTTCTAAAAATATTACATGATTTGTGGAAGTAGTACCTCTGTATTTATAGTGCTAATGGTGAAATTTAGGATAAAGTAGTAATTATGCACATGCTGTTAGTGAAACAAAGTTAAAAACAAAATGCGCTTTATAGTTAATAGTTGTGAGTGCAATCTGGGAGTGACCTTCCACAGGCCAAATCAGAAGTGGCACTTTGCACTTTGTCAGTTTTCTTCTGTATACAATGGGAAGAGTAATAACCACATCATTTCACAGTTGTAAAGATTACAAGAGATAAATATGAAAAGCCTGAAATATAATAGTCAATAAATATTGCTGTTATTTCTCATTAAATAAAGAACAGTAAAGGCAAAGAAACGCTTTTTGTATACTTATATTGTCAGGTATTACCATATCAGCTCTTATAAAACACCTTTGAATTTAAGGTAAACCCTTATCTTAATATCATTAATTTAACTTTTAGAATACCAAAAGAGTTAAATTGTATTATTTTTTAGGAAGCCTAACACTTTGAAAAGTTTTTTTTAAATTGCTTTGTCCCACTTTATGTAAAGAAAAACCCATTTTCGTTTTTGTTCAGAGATCATAGATTTGTATCAAAATCTATGAAAACAGATGATGGATGAAATTAATTTTAGATTAAATTCAGATTTTAAGACTGGGAATAGTGGCACTCACCTGTAATCCCAGCACTTGGGAGGCTGTAAACAGGAGAATCACTACAAGTCTGATCTGTGCAGTGAGATCCTGAATACCTGTAGACCCTTCCCTAAAAATACAGAAAAAATAAATAAATTCAGATTTTATCAAAACTTAATTCAGAATTGAGATAAATTATATATATGTATATGTCCCTGATGAATAAAATAAATTAATACTGTTATAATTTTGAGGGATTATTTAAAGAAATAAATTATTTTAAATTTCTTTTTAAAAATTTTTAAGTTTTTTAAACTAGTATTTACAATTAAAATGTTTTGGATCAGAACCTTGTGAATAAAAGCTTATTTGCCTAATCATATTTGTCTATGTGTAGTGGAATTTACGTGGTCTTTTTCTTTCTTGGTCTTGTTTTTGTTTTTTCGAGACAGCATCTCAGAAGTAGTAGTCTCAACTGCGTAGCTTCTCAGTATGTAGTTTAGACTGTCCTTGAACTCACTGTGTAGCCAAGGCTGCTCTTGAACTTGCAGTAATCTTCCTGTTTCATTCTCCTGAGTTCTGGGATTACATGTGTGGGCTACCATGTCTGGTGAAGTGGTCCTTTTTTATTCAGTTTATTTATTTTTTTGATGCTGGGAACCCAGGACCTCATGCTTGCTAGGGAATTGTTCTACACTAAGTTATACTTCTAGCTCATATACAGAATTTTCTGGGGCTGGGGAGATGGCTCAGTGGAAAAAGCACTTCCCTGGCAAGCGAAAGGACCTGAGTTATAGCTCCAATTCCACAAAAAAAAAAAAAAAAAAAAAAGAATTTTCTGAAAGTGATTTACTTTACGTTATTTCACCAGTCTTTATTCGTGAATTTTATTTCTTTTTTTTTTGTTACTGGAAATTGAACTCAGGACCTCGCACTTGCCAGGCTGGTGCTGTACCAGTGAGCTAAATTCCCTGGCCCTTATTCATGGATTTTTTTTTACTTTTTTTTTTTTTAACTTTTTAATTTTTTTCTTTATGTTTGGCAGAACCAGGGATTGAACTCAGGCCTTTGCACTTGCCAGGCAAGTGCTTGTTCTACTGAGCCATCTCCTTGACCCCTCCAGGGACTTTTATTTATTTATTTTAATTATTTATTTATTTTTATT